TTCCCCATGATGAGCTATGGGGCCGACTCCAAGAAGCCGACAAAACTATGGGGAGATTGGGGGCCATTGAAGAAGCTCTATCGCCGCAGGATTGTTGCAGTGAAAGCCAAGACCCAGCTCTTTACGAATACAGGCCGATTTGAGACAACCATCCCCCTCCCACAGATCGTTCGAGGTCGCTAGATATCTCGGGTCAGGACCCATGCGAAAATCATGCATGATGTGCGGTGTTTTTGGAAACGCATTCGGGCCAAAAATACTGACAGGTCCTCCTACTCCTCGCTCATCGTCTCCCTCAGCTCTGAAACTCTGAACTCCAGAGATCCATGATCCACTGATCCATGATCATCTCTTATCCTTACCACATCCAAACACTACGCTGATCCCTGATCCCTGATCGTGCCATATCCCTGGTCCCTGGTCCCTGGTCCGTGTTTGCTGTCGGGCGGCCGCAAAAATATCCTGACCCCCCCCCCGAAAATTCCATCCGTGACCTCCCCCCCACCCCCAGGCGGTGGCATCACGGGCTGTAAGGCCGAGCTCAAGAAGAGCCAGCAGTACCCTAGGGGACTCGGCAAGGTCATGGCGAGCCTCCTTCACGAAACCCTGATGATCGAGAACCCAAACAGCTTGCTGGCCCGCGAATACCACATGCCCCTGTATGACATACAGAAAAAAGCAGTCTTGAAAGGCAACGTGCCGAAGGTCGTTCGCTCAATGTTCCAGAAGGTGAAGCCTCTCATCCTACTGCCAGCTCTGGGACCCATCGCCACGCCCCAGGGGCCCGAGACCACGCCAGAACCCCAGAAGGCCAAGCGCCCGATGAACGAAGAGGCCGAGGAGCACGACCGATTCGTCAAGGGCAAAAACGAGAGCACGAAGAGCCCGTTGGTCTGATCGATTCCATGCGCCCGTTGGTCTGAACGAGCGCTCCGCCCTGGATCCAGGATTCGAAAATGTCAGGGCGAGGAGGGGGAGACGGGCACCCCAGGAGGATGAGAAGGAGGAGGAGGAGGAGGAGGAGAAGGGGAGGAGGAGGGGAGGGGGAGGAGGAGGAGGAGGAGGAGGAGAGGAGATGGAGAGGGAGGAGGAGGCGGATAAGAAGGAGGGAGGTGGAGAATAAGGAGTAGGAGAAGGAGGGGGAGAGGAGGAGGAGGAGGAGGAGGAGGAGCAGGGGAGGAGGAGGAGGAGGAGGAGGAGGAGGAGGAGGAGGAGGAGGGGGTGAGGACGAGGAGGAGGAGGAGGAGGAGGAGCAGGAGGAGGAGGAGGAGGAGGAGGAGGAGGAGGGGAGGAGGAGGAGGCGCGCGCCTCAGGAGGAGAAGGATGAGGAGACGCGCGCCTCAGGAGGAGGAGTCGGGCGCCTCAGCAGGAGGAGGGGGAGGAGAAGGAGGAGGAGGAGGAGGAGGAGGAGGAGGAGGAGAGAGGAGGAGGAGGAGGAGGAGGAGGAGGAGGAGGAGGAGGAGGAGGAGGTGGAGGAGGAGGAGGATGAGGAGGAAGATAAGAGGGAGGAGGACGGTAGAAGGAGGGGGCAGGAGGAGGAGGAGGAGGAGGAGGAGGAGGAGGAGGAGGGGGAGGAGGAGGAGGAAGGTGTCACCGACGCCCGAGTGGCAGAAAAGCTGTCGACCGTTGTCCGTCAGACCCCGTGATCCGAATGAGGGGTGTGCCTCGAGGCCTCGGTTTCGAGGGTTTGCAGGAATCCAAGCCCGTTCGCGACCCAGTGGGTTCGAGCGTTCCGTCGAGTTCCCATGGGGTAGGGGCCCCCGCGGCCCGACCCCCCCTCCCAACCCCGAACCCCACGAGCCTTCGGCAATTCCCCCGAACCCCGCGGTCCGCAGTGTCGGTGGGCTCTCAGGGGGCCGAGGGGCAGATGGGGGAAGGGGGAGGGGGGCCTTTGGATTTCGGACCTTGACCGCCAGGGGGCAGATGGAGACAGGACTGGTGGGACAGAGGCGGTGGATTTCGGTACCAGCTTGACGGCATGGTTGACGTCATTTTGTTTTGGTTTGACGTCATTTTTGACGTCATTTTGACGTCATTTTTGACGTCATTTTTGACGTCATTTTTCGTAATTGAAATCAATATGAAGGCAAAAATGCCTTCAAAAATGCCTTCAAACATGCCTTCGAGGTTAGAGGAGCACCGCCCCCCGTCGCCCAGGGCCAAGGGACCCCCCTGGCGGGGCTACTACTATCGATGGACGCGTAAACACGCCCAGCCTCGCTTCCATCCCCTCCTGGTGGCACATTTGGGAGCATTCTCTCTTCCAGGGTTCCCATCGTGGGCCCTCCTCTCCTCTTCCCACCCTTTCCTCCTCCTCCTCCTCGTCCTCCTCCTCCTCCTCCTGAGGCGCGCGCATCCTCCTCCTCCTCCTCCTCCTCCTCCTCCTCCTCCTCCTCCTCCTCCTGAGGCGCGCGTCTCCTCTCGTGAGGCGCGCGTCTCCTCTCTCCTCCTCCTCCCTCCTCCTCCTCCTCCTCCTCCTCATCCTCCTCCTCTCCTCCTTCCTCCTCCTCATCATCATCTTAATCCCCCTCGTGCTCCTCCTCCCCTCTCCTCCTCCCCCTCCTCCTCCTCCTCCTCCTCCTCCTCCTCCTCCTCCTGAGACGCGCTCCTCGAGCCCCTCCTCCTCCTCCTTCTCCTCCTGAGGCGAACGTCTCCTCCTCCTTCTCCTCCTCCACCTCCTCCTCCTCCTCGTCCCACCCCTCCTCTTCTTCCTCCTCGTCCTCCTCCTCTTCCTCCTCCTCGCCCTGACCCCCCCTGTGCCCAGATCCCCGAGCCCTCTCGCCGGCGTGCAATATGGCCCGAAGCCTTGTCAGAGACGCGGGGGCTGGCGCCGCACGACCGCGAGGAATCCGACGCGCAGCTTGCAGGCTGGCGAGGGCGCGTGAACAGATTCCGATATCTCTCCTTCAATGGATCTTCTGGGAGAGGTGGTGGAGGTGGTCTTGGAGGATGCGGAGGGCGGAGGAGGTGGTGGTGGTGGTGGTGGTGGTGGTGGTGGTGGTGGTGGTGGTGGTGGTGGTGGTGGTGGTGGTGGTGGTGGTGGTGGTGGTGGTGGTGGTGGTGGTGGTGGTGGTGGTGGTGGTGGTGGTGGTGGTGGTGAGGTGGTGGTGGTGGTGGTGGTGCTGTTGGCGGTGGTGGGTGGTGGTGGCGGTGGTGGTGCTGGCTGCTGGCGATGGTGGTGGTGGTGGTGGTGGTGGTGGAAGGAGGTGGCGGAGGACCGAGGAGGAGACCCTCCCCAGGGCCAAGACAGAGAAGGTGGCAGAGGTTCCAGGGCGAGGCAGAGGATGAGAGTCAGGATGAGAGTCAGGATGAGGAGGAGGAGGAGGAGGAGGGGAGGAGGAGGAATAATGAATTCCCACGGCCTACAGGCCATGTCGGCACCCTCGGCGCTTGAGACCCCGCCCAAGCTGCCCAAGCCCCTCGCGGACCTGGAAATGAAAATGAAATCCATGGGCCTCGCCATGGACGAGGACGGGCTCAAGAAGCTGAGCTCGAAGGACAGAGCCATTGCGTTCCAGGAGCTGCGCCGCCGTTTACCAAGCGACCTGAAGGATCAACTTGGCCAAATCGATCATCAATCTGACCCTGTGGCTGGATGGGGACAAGCATGCAATCATTTCTCGGCCCTGCAGTCAACGCTGGCACATCCCGAACTGTGCTTGACTCCTGCCTGCCTCGGCGTCGGTTGATGACCAAAATGGCCAACTTGATCCTCCGAGGAGAAGTATGGCACGGTGAAAGGTCCTGGATCCGACGAGCAACGCCGCAAATGGCTGGCTAACTTCATCTTGGATCCGACGTGTGCTAAGCTCAGGGCCATGGACAAGGACACCGCGATCGACGAGGCCTTCAGCTCCGACGAGGAGCAGTGGATGACAGTTGATGAGTACGGAGGTCCCAAGGGCATCAACAATATGGAGAACGCTCGCTTGGCCGTGCTAGACTTCGACTCGCGCCCGCACAAGCAGTCCAAGAGGCTCCGGGATGCTGGCGTCATGCAGTACAAGATCGTTACCGACAAGCGCCACAAGCGCACCGGCAACAGGCGCGAGCACGTGGTCGAGGCGGACGCTGACATCAACGCGGATGATTACAGGGTGGCGCAGGCGACCATGCAGGCTGGCTCATCAGGCAAAGCTCGCGCCACGCCTGTGGCGGCCACTCCTTTGCCCATCGACCGCAGCGCTGCGCCCAGCGAGAGCGAGCCGGCAACTCCGAGGGCCAGCCCGAGGCCGACAGAGGGTGGTCCCCCGCCGAGCGACGCCAGCCCAGCACGGCGCAGGGTCACGGGCAAGAAGACGGTGCTTGCTGAGGAGCCCCAGGCCGCGTCTGAGGGCAAGGCTGCGGCGAGTGGAGCTGCAGACACCAAGAAGGGCGTCATCAACATCAAGCGCGAGATCTCTGGCGAGGACGACAGGACCGCCACCCTGTCGGAGGACGCCGACCAGGCTGAGCTGCTCCGCATCAAGCAGGCCAGGGTGAAGGAGTGCAAGACGTTCATCAACAAGACGCGGACGGAGCTCAAGGAGGTCAGCGTCTTGAAGGCATGCCGCAGGGCATTGAACAAGTTTGAGCCGTGAAGAGACGAGGGGAGGAGTACGAGGAGGAGAAGGAGGAGGAGAGAGGAGGAGGAGGGAGGAGGAGAGGGTAGAGGTGGAGGAGGAGGAGGAGGAGAAGAGGAGGAGAGGAGGAGAGGAGGAGAGGAGGAGAAGGAGAAGGAGTAGGAGGTGGAGGAGGAGGATGAGTAGCAGGAGGAGGGGGAGGAAAGGAGGAGAAGGAGGAGGAGGAGAAGGAGGCTGTCAACGACTAAAAGACAGTGTATGAATTCACAATGCATGCAACACATCTGCAAATTTAATCCTCCTCACTCTCGCTCTGCCTTCTCTGTCTGCTCCTTGCTCTTTTGCCCGATGCCATCCCCATCATAATAGGATGGGGATGGTTTGGATAGGATGATCCTGTCCAAACCGTCCTCTCGAGCATTGTGGGCCCACCTCGAGGCCCGCATCGAGAAGAAGCCCGCGTGGGGCCCGCACGCTGCCACATTCCTCCAGCAGAAGGCTGACGAGCAGCTGACCGCTCTTGAGGAGCTCTTTCAAGAATTTGTCACCGCTTGTGCCGTGGAGGTCCCCGTGGATCTGACCCCTGAGAGCAGGGCTGCCTTCCTCAAGACAATTGACGACCTGGAGGCCTCCCGCTTGGCCAGGGCAAATTCCTACAAGGTGGCCTGTGCCCAAACATACTCCTACACATGCATATCACCAAATATGCGCTGACGCGCCCTGCCGGCATGCGTTAAGCTAACTGTCATTGAAAACCACGTGGGTAGGGGGTCCCGATCCAGCCGAAGGGCTTAGGCGATCCCTCCTCCTCCTCCTCCTCCTCCTCCTCCTTCTCCTCCTCCTCCTCCTCCTCCTCCTCCTCCCCCTCCTCCTCCTTCTCGCTCCCCCACCCCCTCCTGCTAGTGGTAATATCTTTGAGCTGCACCTTGTTTTGTTAAGCGTCGCCTCGCATTGCCCTGAGGTCTTCTGCAAGGATGTCCTCATGGACTTCTCGAAGTGCTGATCGCCCTCATCGGCGACGGCGTCGGTGGTTTCCGCGCCAGGGGAAGCAAGTGGACGGGGCAGGATTTCGCCGAAGGAAAGATTCTTCTTAGAGAACCCCGTTTCGAAGCCCCACCAGGGCTTCTAAGAAGCCCTCGGAGGTCACCCTTCCTTCAGCGAAGCCCTCCCTCGTCCCTTATCCCCCCTCGGCGTTGGCTGGAGGCCAGCAACTCGTTGGCGTCTCAGCCAGAGTGGGCACAGTCATGCGTGTGGGGTGTTTTGACTGTGAGCTAGGTTTGGCTAAGCCCTCTGTGGCCGCTGAGCGCAGTCACCATCGATCGTTCGCCATGCCAGTGAACCCTTGGTCGAGCATTTGGGTTCGATCAGGGGGCCGTTTTGCTGCTGGGGGGCGGCGATGGGCGACGATTCTGCAGCTCAAACTTACCACAGAGGCCTTGAGAATTGAGGTTAAACCTTCCTTGAGAGGGCGATTGGGGGTGTCAACGTGCGCGTCTACCCCACCCTCAATAGTTCGGCCATCCCAATGTAAAAAAACAAAAAAAAACTTGCCCACTCCGCGATCCCCTCTATCCCCCCACTGGCTGGTGTAGGCGCGCATCGTTGCCCCCCCCAATGTGTCCGGAATGTTTGGGGAGGGGGTTTTGACCCTGAGGCCCACGAGCTCAAGTACGTGGGACCAGACGCTCTTCGGAGACCCCGCCTGAAGAAGTTGATGATCGGCCTTCGAAATTCCTGGCAACCTTATACAAAAAAGGTCGCATCAGTGCGAAAGAATTTCAAGAGGGGTGCCAAGCTTTCAAATCGGTTGACCCTCACTGTTCGGACCTGGGGAAAGCGAATAAAGGACATCACCAGAGAAATCTACTTGGGGCACTTCGGAGGCAAGGAAAACGCCTGCCGAACCTGTACGTTGCTAGAGCACCATTTTGGGACAATTGCCGCAACGAAGCATACGAGGGATTGTTGTATTTCCTCTTGCCAGCTGAAGTGCTAGAGTGTGTAATAGAGCCAGGGCGGATTGCAGAGTGGACTAGTTATTCTAACCGCCAATTGAACCTCCAGCACACTTTCAAGAAGTGGTGTGACCAGACAAACTGCGTGGACACTGGTGATTACGTAGGCCTGGGTTTCTGGGGGGACTCAGCGCCAATGAGCAAGAGGGAGAGTCTGCACATTTTCTTGTTCAACGCGGTTTCAGGGTCACATCGAGAGCGCTTCTGGGTCACGACGTTCACGAAGGCCCAGGCTTGCCAGTGCGGCTGTTCAGGCCTGCTCGCTTCTGTTTTCGTCCTCTCGTCGCCTCCACCCGCCAATATCTTTACGATCCCTTATGTGGCCACGTCGTGCATGCACTGGCACCTACTCAACAACACAACACCTATACTTGCACATGAACATACATTGTGGCAAACACGCCTGTGCATGCACATGCACCTACCCCCTGAGGAGACGGAGGAGGAAGAGGAGGAAGGAGGAGGAGGAGGAGGAGGAATAGGTGGAGGAGAGGAAGAGGAGGAAGCCTCTTCCCCTCTACCTCCTCCTCTTCCTCCTTCCATCTGCGCTCACGTTTGCGTGCCCTTTTGCCAGCCCTGCATGTGCAGGCCGCCACACCTTCGAAGTGGTTTTGGACGTTATGAGGTGGCAGTTGGTAGCTTTGGCAGTTGGCCGGAGACCAACCAAACGCCATGACGGCACGAAGTTTTCAGAGTCGACGTTTACTGGCGACCGAGAGCGAGCTCGCAAAGCACTGGAACATCCGACGTACCGCATCAAAGGGTGCTGCTTACAGAAACGAGGTCCCACAGGGCAAATGCGCGATGGGGGAACGGGAAGGAGGAGGGCAGGAGAATGATAGGCGGGAAGGTCGGGGAAAACGATTGGCCCCAGGTGATTGGTCTTGGTATAAGCAGATCATGGGCCTCACAGGCTGGAAAGGGGAGGCGACGGGGGGTCAACTCATCTGATCTTGGGTGGCGCGACAGCCTCAGGAGGCGGCGCAAGGGATGTGACGCCCCCAGCTTCGGCCCGGAATCTTCAATCATCCAATCGTTATGTTGGGCAGTCCAGCATAGAGATTGGAGGATGGACTTACAAAACAACACACCCATGGATCAGGATGGGGGGACAACTCAGGGCGTATCGAAGCGGGTATGTTATCGGTGCCCTGCCAATATGACAGATTGCCCGTTCACAGACTTCACCATGGATGCGGCTTGGAGGTCCCAGTGCTTTTCCCACGTTGATTTCCTGGTGCAGCAGGCTGCTGAGGATGGCTATGTATGCCCAATTTTTCGGTGGCCAGGCTTTACCATTGATCACATATCAACGGACTTCATGCATTGCTGCGATTTGGGGATTCTTCAAGTTTTCCTTGCTAATGTGTGGTGGGATTTTTTCAAGGCAATTGGAGGGGTCCAAAGCCGCCCAAAAGCCCACCTCGCAGAGCTCTTGAATCTTATCAAATGGGGATCAAAACAGGTGGGTCTACCAAATCCTCCCATCAACAATGTAACGATGACGATGATTCGAGTCGAAAGCAAGTCTCCCAAGTTTAAGCTGAAAGCGGCTGAATGTCGCTATATGCTTCCTGTTACGGTACGAGTGGCAGAACTCTTCGGCACGGATTCCCCCTATAAGCAGACCAGAATGAATTGCCTCCTGGAGTTGCACACTGTATATAAAGAAATGGTTGCATGGGGACCAGGAAGCGGAATCAAAATTGCAGAGGCAGCCCGAAAGCATTGCATCTTGTACACTGCGTTGCGCCCCGTCGAATCCCCCAGCTGGATATTTTATCGTATCTATCCTAAGCACCATCAATTCATACACGTGTGTGAGCACCAGATAGCTGTATCTGGGAACCCAGCTGATCACTGGTGCTACATGGATGAGCACGAGATCGGAATGGCTGTGCGGGGATCCCACAGCATGCACCCTAGGACCGTGCAACAAACTTTAATGGAGAAGTATCGGCTTCTCGAGTTCGTTTGATGAGGTCAGGTTTTCTCCTGCCTCGCTGAGCGCTGGACGATATGCATGGGGGAAGGACATAAGGATCTCGATAAGGGGGAGGAGGACGGCCAGGGGAAAAGGATGAATCTAGACCCGCTCGGCGGAATGGCGTAGCCTTCCAAATACTGCTGTATATTTATGTGTGCAGCATGTGTGCGAGCAGCGTGACGTCTGCACCAGCCGTCGCCCGAGGGGCGAGTACAACTCGTTGACTGACGATGACCCGTCGCTTCTTCCCTTTCCTAGTTCTTCCCCTGTTGCCAGCCCTTCGGCCCCCTTCTCTCCCCCCGCTCTCTCGGTCGGTCGTTGATGGCGGTCCTCTAAATCAAGACGGGGATCGAAGATAATAGAAAATGCACCCCATGGATGGCTAACACAGGGCCCCATGGATGGTCCCCTGGATTCCCCAAAGGGGCCCTTAGGGCCTCAGCTGTTGGATTCCCTACGCTGGCTCACAGACCCCCTTACCGACCGACCAACCCTCCCCAACTCTCGTGATCTCACTGCAGCCGCGATGTCCGAGGTGAAACGCCGAAAATTCCCCAGTTCATTCACAATGTTTGGCCCATGGGACCCCACAGCTGGCTCCTAAACTGGACCCCGACAAGGGCAATACTGGCGAGTTCGGTGAGATCGATACGAAAAAATGATGCTGACGACGAGATCGGTGAGATCGATCCGGAAAATGATGCTGAAGAGTGCGACGACTGCGAGACAGAATCGGACAAAGAGAGCGACTGGCCGTGGAGCGAACCATCTGACGAGGCCACAATAGGTCGGATTATGGACGAGAAAGCGCTCCCGACGAGCGAGGAGAGTGAGAGCCACAGCGCGGACAAATCCGACTCCGCCGAATCCGACTCCGACTCCGACACTCCGACAGAGCGACAGAGCGACTCGAGGGGTATAAGCTTTCCCGGAGACAGCAATCCTACTTGACTCCTGAAGCTCTCGCGGGGTACCGCAAAACGAGTCCCGAGTACTTCTTCCAGAAACAAGCTGAGGCGGCTGAGATGAGGGAGATGAAGGACTTCCGAACTTGAGAACGACACCCTCCTCCTCCTCCTCCTCCTCCTCCTCCTCCTCCTCCTCGTGTCATCCTCCTCTTCCGCCTCCCCCTCCTCTCTGCCCCCCTGGGGGGGGGAAGGGGCAACCGAATACCCATAGGAAAGGCGGCAGAAGGAGGCCTATGCCAAGAAGATGATGGCGGTTTCTGAGCAGCAATGGCGCATGCATGCGCCATTGCTGCTCATGAGTGTGAGGTGCAGATTTTGCCCGTGGGACCTCGGACCCAGAAAGCTGATTCGTCGGAGGCCTAAGCCAGAGAAACCGTTTGCTCTGAAGCGAACTCCTGCTCAGGAACTGGCCGCGCTCAGCCCATAGTTGCCTATGGGCGCGATGTGTCCGTGTCCTACTCGTTCTCCTCCTCTTCCTCCTCCCTCCTCCTATGCCTCCTCCCTCTCCTCCTCATTCCTCCTTCTCCTCATCTCACTCCCCCTTCTCTTCCTGCCGTCCTGGTCCTTCTCTTCCTCCTCATCCCTCCCTTTGGTTATTCCCTTTGCGATGCTTTCGTGCTCCTCCGATCTTCCTTTCCGTGCCCTCTCGCGCCCTGCCCTGCTCCCCCTGATTTTCCTCCTGGTCTTCCT